AAATAGATTCATATTTATTAATAAATTATAATCAATGAATATACAATATACAAATTTTGTAATATAAAACTAAAAAGGTTTATATTTTAAAATTAAAATAGTGAAAGTTTTTAAATTTCTTTGTTTAGTGTCTTTTTGTTTTAGATTATTGCAGAATTAATAAATCTAAGAATTACCTATACATATATAATTACACACATGCCTTATTCTTTTAAATATTTCTAGATAAAGTAAAAGAAAATGAAACATAATTTAAAATAATAAGTCATATAATATAGCTAAGAATTGGAATGTTTTTCTAATATAATTCATAATAATCATGATTATGAATTAGTCAAATATTAAAGTCGTCGAAATATGTACAATATGTGTTATTTGTATAAATAGAATAATTTTGTCAAACTATTTTAAAATTCCGAAGAAACGAAATTTGAATTTTCCCACCATTTTTTTTTTAGTGATAATATTTGAACCCATGCGAACAACAAATATATTATAATAAATTAAATTGAGATATATACATTGTCTTTTTTTTTTGTTATTCTTGTTGTTTGTTTTTGTGAATAAAATATTTAGTCTACGCTTATTCCTTTTGAGAAGATTAAATATTATTCTAAACATTTTCTATATGGAATCCTTTAGAGGGTATCGAGTTGCACTCACAAGTCATTTGATGAGTTTTCCGTTCCACAATATTTTTGCCATCAGATTTTGTCGTTTGAACTTCATTAAATTCGTTGAAGTAGGGTCTGATATGACTAGAATTGTTCTCTTTTCTGCATTGATTTAAAACTAATTTACAAAGATCTACATGATTTTTTTGAATGTCGTACTGGATTGAATGTTCCGGTTGGTTCAGGTCTGGGTTTCCGGTTTGGTGCTTGTTTTGATTACGGGGTTTATATTCATCTTGATTTGGATATTCGAATTCATCTTCATCTGGATATTCGAATTCATTTTGATCTGGGGGTAGGGGTGGGAATTGTCGGTAATAGAGTCGTGGAGAATTTAATGTAAATTGTTTGGCCAATTTTTTGATTGCTGACGGTTTGATCAGATTTTCGCCATATTCTTCGTTCGATAACATTTCATTATTATAATTGGGAATTTTCTTATCTACAGTTATATCTTTCGGTAAAATAGTTTTAGGTGATTTCACTGGTGTCGTTTGATTCCTTTTGATACCGTAAATCGGCCGAATCGTTGCACTCCGATTCATCTATAATATTATTATAATAATTAATACATATTATTAATGATATTTTTATATTTAATATATATCAAAGAGATAGATCAAAAGTAATTAGATGAAATAAAAGTTCTTAGCTGATTTAATAAATGAATCATTCTTTTTCGAAACTCTTTTAGGTAATTTTTTTTTATCTTTGAGATTGCACAACTGCATGTTTAGGGTTTTTTTTTAATAGAAATATTAGGTTGGCCAATAAGTACATGCAATTTCTTTTACTTGTAAATAAATTAACGAAAAAAACTGCATGGATTTATTGACTAATTTAATATATATTAATACATTAACATTATGAATTATATTAATAGACAATAACAACAAAATCTTTTAATATATTAATAATAATAATATATATATATATATATATACGTATGATATCTTACATCAATATTATCTTTATCCTTATTGTTATCATCATTGGAGATCATTTGTACTACTCTTGGTATAACTGGCAAATTGTATATCTGATAATCCATTTCATATTTATTATAAACTTGAGTATTCTCGTATTTATGTTTATTTACATTTTTATTAATTCTCATCAAATTGCTTAACATTTCTTTGAGGGTTTTCTTGTGATTGGATTTTTTGTTAACTACAGTTTCACCCCATTGTTCATTCGTATTCTTCCAATTTTCTTTCTTGTTCTCGTTGATTTTATTAACGATAGGTGAAATCGATTCTTCGATTGAAAAAGAATCATCGAATTCAATTTTTCTTTCAAAAATTTCTGTATATCTTTTGGATAAAAACGGTTTCTTGTTCGACAATATTTTATCTATTTTATCATAAGTCAATACCCTAGGTTGAATAAGTTTATTGGATGAATCATTATAATAGGACATTATTCTCGGTATGGAAGTTTTCATGAATGATTGTTTTAAAAATTCGTTATTAGCATCCTTTTCCCCGGATAATTTATATTTATTTTTCTTATCAAAGTGAGAAATTAATTTCAATAAGAAATTTTTGGATTTATTCGATTTAGCCAATGGACCTGATTCGATGTATTCTTCATTATACAAATCATCGAACGAACGACACATACCGTATTTTTTCTCGATCAAACTTTTTGCATCGTTTTTATCGAAATATAATGTTCTTGACGTGGTTGACGCTGATTTCGAACGTTTATGTTGTCCTGGCATTGTTATTAATACAAATATTAATTTATCGTTCACAAATAAAAAAAAAAAAAAATTTGTTCAAAATATACACGCCACTTTAAAAAATATTTGTCTTTAATTTTAATTAATTTCTTTAATTATTATTACTATTATTTTACAGAGTTATCTTTTATTCTCACTTAGAATTAAATATATTAACGAAGAAAGACTAAGCTCTAACTGTCATTAAATACTATGAGACAATATATATTAGAGGTCAAATTTTTTTATTTACTATGTGATCGATAATACTTTTGTTTTAAATAGATAAATGAATGCAATGTGAAAAAGATTAATCATTTTATTAAACATATATAAATAATTCATACCTTTTTTTATTTATATAAAATCAATATTGTTTTTATATATTTATAGTTTTTATTTTGAATATATATTTTGAATTCTATGTGACTGTGATTATATAAAGATTAGATAGGCGACATGATATATTAGATTCAACCTAGTGCCATCACGCGGAATTTGTGATAAATAATTCTAGTAAAAAATAACTAACTAATTTTATTTATATGTGACATAATTTTTATTATATTTATCTTTATTACATATTACACAGTGTTCACAATATATAGTTCCTATGTGTATTTTAATTTATAAATGTCTATTAAAATAAAGAAGAACGTTTTACATATTTGAATTACTACAGAAATTAATTCAAATTTCCCACTCAAAAGTAACAAACATAATCGAAACATTATTAAGATCAATTGACATTTTCGAGTGTGATTTATATATTAATTTATTCGTATTTTAATTGTTAATACATGAAATGGAATATGTGTTATTTTAGAAACGTAATAATATATTTATGTGTAATTATACTCTTTACTTTTAAAAAGGTAGGATGTAAAAATATATTTATAACCTTGATTTAAAAATTTTTAGCGCCATTTAAATGAATATTTGAATAATGAAAACTAAAATAGAATTTTGATTTATATTCATTTTAATCATATACTTTTTTTCAGGTCATGGGAAATGATATTTGATCCAAAAGATCATCCACTTGAACTATAACGTTTACAAGATAACTGGAAAAATATAAATAAGTATTTTTAGTTCAAATCTTGAATTATAAACATTTGTCTCCTAACAAGCGTTTTGTTTAAATGTAAAAGAAATTGTTTCATAGTTATATATGATAGTCACAGTGTAATTATTTTCATATAGCGTAAAGAATAATGTCAAAGAGAAAAGGTTTAACTTTGGATGAAAAACGAGCGAGAATGCTTCAAATATTTTACGAGAGAAAAGAATTCTTTACGTTAAAGGAAATAGAAAAAATTGCACCTAAGGAAAAAGGTATCGTTGCTCAAACTGTTAAAGATGTTCTTCAAACGTTGGTAGACGATGGCTTAGTTAGAACCGACAAAATTGGAACTTCCGTATATTTTTGGACATTTCCTGGGTAAGAACATATTAATGAGAGATATATGAAACATTTCAAATTATTATAACATTAAAAACTAAAAATATTGTTTTAGAGAGAACATAACTGCTGTAGAAAGTAGGATAGCATATGCGACTAAAAGAATAGTCGAAGCAGAATTCAAGCTGCAGAAGTTGAAAGAAGAATGTATAAAAGAACAGGTAAAACATACGTTTAATGTAATTTACAATTTTTTGTAAATTAATAGGATGATTAATGTTTCATTCGTTTGATAATGGAATATTTAGGCTGGTAGAGAAGATACAGAAGAGAGACGAAATTTGTTACAACAAATACAATTATTAAGAGAGAAAGAAAATGAATTTAAAAGTAAAATCGCTAAACTCAGCGAAATCGATCCAGAAGTGATTACAAAAATGGCTAAAAGAGCACAGGTATGAAAATTCATAAATATTAGTTAAATAAACAAAATAATCAAGTTATTTTCATCAGATGTTCAAAGAGGGAACAAATGTATGGACAGATAATATCTTTTCCATTCAAAGTTGGTGCAAACAAAAATTTGGTATAGCAGAAGCGGATCTCAATAAACAATTTGGTATCCCCGATGATCTGGATTATAAGGAGTGAAGTAAATTTACATATTAAAGCCAAGATATTCATATTTTTATATTTTTGTAATTAAAGCTGACATTATCTTTTTATTTTTTTTTATATAAATCTGCCCACCACTTATCAAGAATTCTTTTCTGAATTTATTTTAATAAGATTATCAGGTATTACATTTTGTTTTCTTAAAATTGTATAAATTTCTTATCAATGAGAAAAAAAAGAATTCTAATGCAGTTGCAATGTTTATTAAAAATAAAGCATTAATTTATAGATATTTTGCACGAATATTCAATATCGTAATACGCTCGTAGAAATTTTCTATTTGTTAAAATAGTTTCACTTTTTATTTTATCAACCAATTAACGTGAGCGTGTGCAGTGGTTGCACAAGTTTTCTATTGGCTGTAATAGTTTCACATTTTATTCTACCAACCAATCAACGGCGTGGGAACGGTTGCACCACTTGCATTTATTCTACCAATCAATGAGCGACGCAAGTACACGCGATGATCGCACCTCTCGCGGGCAAAAGTAGCAAATTCTAAAAAAGTAAAATGCGATCAGTATTCATTTAGATCTTGCGAAGTAAACAGTATTTTACTTGGTTAAATTTATAACGTTGCAAAATGGCTGAAGTGAAATCGCGTCGTATTGCTCAGGCAGAAGATTTATCAAATGTCGAATTCGAAACGAGCGAAGATGTCGAGGTTATTCCTACTTTTGATAATATGAACCTTCGGGAAGAATTATTAAGAGGAATTTATGCATACGGTAATATATTTATTTACTTTTTTCGAAATTTAACTCTTTGTACTAGATTTGATGCATTGAGATGCGTTTCAAAAACGATGCTATATTTGACACTTATATCTTTTCCATAAAATTCGCCGTAAATAGGACTTGTCTTTATAATGTTTGGATCGTAAATTGTATCACGAGTCTCACATGATTTAATAGATTAAGAGTTTAGCATGAGTTAACCTTCAAATTACATACATTAATCGCTTTTAATTGTAAATAATAACGATCTTTATATATCTAAATTTTCAAAAAATTCACTCAAATATTTGCAAAAGATTTACACAACATTATGTAAACAAAATGTAGAAAATATTTTTTGTATTTATATCAAGTAATATAATTAATGTTTACTTTTTATAGGTTTCGAAAAGCCGTCAGCTATTCAACAAAGATCAATAAGACCTATAATGCAAGGCAGAGATGTAATAGCACAAGCACAATCTGGTACAGGAAAAACTGCTACATTTTCAATTGCTATACTACAATCTTTGGATACAGAAGTACGAGAAACACAAGTACTTGTCCTTTCGCCAACACGAGAACTGGCTACACAAATACAAAAAGTAATCCTTGCATTGGGTGATTTTATGAATGTACAATGCCACGCGTGCATTGGAGGTACAAATCTTGGCGAGGATATCAGGAAACTTGATTATGGTCAACACGTAGTATCGGGTACACCTGGAAGAGTATTTGGTATGTAAACTTATCGACATTGATCATTTAACATTTCCTTATTATACTTACATATATTTCAATTGTAAGAAATACTTATGTTTTTTTAAAGACATGATTAAAAGAAGAGTATTACGTACCAGAGCGATTAAGATGTTGGTATTGGACGAATCTGACGAAATGCTTAACAAAGGTTTCAAAGAACAAATTTATGATGTTTACCGTTACCTACCACCAGCAACACAAGTCGTACTAGTGTCTGCTACATTACCTCACGAAATTCTTGAGATGACCAGTAAATTTATGACAGACCCAATTCGCATTCTTGTAAAACGGTAAATATATTATTAATATTATAATATTTAATACATTTATATACTATATAGAAACTAAATTTGGTAAATTTATTTCCAACAGTGACGAGTTGACTCTAGAAGGAATAAAACAATTTTTTGTTGCCGTCGAACGAGAAGAATGGAAGTTCGATACTCTTTGCGACTTATATGACACATTAACAATTACTCAAGCAGTTATATTTTGTAATACAAAACGTAAAGTCGATTGGCTGACAGAGAAGATGAGGGAAGCTAATTTTACAGTTTGTTCTATGCACGGTGATATGCCTCAGAAAGAAAGAGATAATATTATGAAAGAATTTCGTTCTGGACAAAGGTAAACGTTGATTATAAATAATAATAATTTGTTATTCCATTACGTTTAAATTTTTGTATTAATTTTATTTTCATTTATTCTTGCAGTCGAGTTTTAATTACAACTGACGTTTGGGCTAGAGGAATAGACGTTCAACAAGTATCTCTTGTTATTAATTATGACTTACCAAATAATCGTGAATTGTATATTCATAGAATAGGTCGTTCAGGTCGATTTGGTCGTAAGGGTGTGTCGATTAACTTTGTCAAAACCGATGATATCAGAATCTTGAGAGACATTGAACAATATTATTCAACACAAATCGATGAAATGCCTATGAACGTGGCTGATTTAATTTAAGTTATACATTAACATATTCGATTAATATTATTTTCTTTTCTTTTTATTTCCCTCCCTTATTAAGAGTGGAACAACAAGTCATTTTTTTAAGGAAAGAAATAATTTCAATCGATGAAATATTAATATTGAAATAAGACGGGAAAAAAGTTAAACCTTCGTTGATATTGCAAGTGGAACGTATAGTAAGAAAAAAAAAAAAAAAAAGAAAAAATAAATATAAATTATTAACAAATAAATAAAATTTTAAATAATTAAGTGGTAATATAAGTAAAAATGTGTACGTGTACACTATTCGTATCTATATGAATGTGTAATAAGAGTATCATCAATGTATATACATTTTTATTTTGATAAAAACGTTACTGTTAATAAATGTTAATAAAATAATAGTAAAATGATACACATTTTTATTCGAAATATAATTTTGTATTTCATGAAAATTAAAATATTCGATCTTTGTATTTTAATTTAATTTTTTATCACGTGTCTCGATGTTATAGGGACATTTTGGTTTTTCATGTATGTGTGTGTTTGCATTAATAGTTCATATTTTGTCTATACCTGTCGTTGCAATAGTAAAACTACGATATATAGAAAATGAATAAACATAAAAATCGAGAAGACTTATACTTTATAATGTTCAGATGAATATTATAAAAAAGTTAGATACTGTGTACTCTTTAATGTTTCGTTTTATATGATACAGAAGAGTTATACCTCATAAAACATAAAATATTGAATCTACAAGGTAAATAATTATTATTATATTAACATTAAACATAAATATTATTATTCTATTAACATTATTGTTAATAGAAATTTGGTATATATAAATTTATATAATTTTAACAGTAATTATTACTTTAGAGGTTAAACGTGATTATGGCTGAAGGAAAGGAGGACTTTGATGTTAATGAAGTTTTTGAAAAATTGTTATTTGCTGAAGACAAAGCACAAGAATCTGCTTATGCGGATGGGTATGAAAGTGGAAGAAATAAATTATTAAAAGGATATCATCTCGGATATCATAGAGCAACTATAGTCGCTGCACAATTAGGTTATTATTGTGGTGTTTTAGAACAATACTTACAAAGTAATAATACAACAAATGAAAAAATAATATCTTTGGCTAAAGAAATTTTAACTAATATTTATAGTTTTCCTAAACACAATGATGAAACTATCGATATTTTAAAGACATTGGATGATATTAAATACAAATATTTTAAATTTTGTTCTTTAGCTAAATTAAAACGCGTACATCCAGAAATTAACTTTCTTGATTATTAAATCAATTCTATTGATTTATATATATATATTTATATTAATATATATATTGATTATTAAAAATTATTTTACAAGATGGTTCATTATGAGGAACATTTTTGTAAAATAATAGATTTTTTAAATTTATACCAACAACTAATCGATTGCCATTTGGTCGACTTTATCAGCCATAAATTGTGGGACAAATGTTTACCAGAGTTATTAAAATTAGAACTCGAAAACATTCAAACAATGAACGATATTTGGAAAGAAAATGAAAATGTTAGTCGATTAAATGAATTTATACGAATGACTAAGTCGTTGTCTTTGCAGTCATGTTCGATGATATCAAATTATAAAGATATTCCAGAATTCTTAAACTTAAATCTGGATAATGATGAATTTAATGTTGAAACAAATAACAAAGATGCTGAATTTATGAGTGAAAAAAAATTTCACGAAGTGGAAACACTTGGCCGTGTAATCGGACATATAGCAAAATCAACTAAAAGTTTAGTAATAGATGCCGGTGCTGGAAAGGCCTATTTGTCTACATATTTATCAGAAAATTACAAACTACCTGTACTCGCAATTGATTCATCAGATCTTTGTCACAAAGGAGCAGTTCATCGAACAGAAAAAATGAAGAAAGTGGGAAAGCAAAGTTCATCTTCGGTATTATTAAAAAAAAATATATAAATAAATTACCTCACATTTATTTTTGTAATCTTTGTTAGTGCATTTAATCTTTTATTTGTATATTTTTCTTTTCTTTTTCTACAGGTCAAATACATAGTCGCAAAAATTGACGAAAACACGGATTATAATAAAATGGTTAACTTAAATTTTCCAAATTGGAATTTAAAGAATAATTTAATTTTAACCGGACTGCACACTTGCGGATCTTTAGCTCATTCTCTTATGAAAGTCTTCCTACATAATGACAATTTTAAAGTCATTTGTTTTGTACCTTGTTGTTATCACTTAGTCAGTGAATCGTTTAGCAAAAGAATTAAATTTTCTCGGAATGCCAGAATGTTGGCGCAACAATGTATAGAAAGAACTAAAAAAACCAAATCGTTATCCCCATCGTTATTTTACAGAGCATTGTTACAAGTACTGTTACATTCTATGGGTAAAAATGTCGATTTAATTATAAATAATTAATTATAATTAAATTATATATATATATATAATTACAATCAAACTTTGAAATATTTTGTATATGTATCTAATTGTAAGTGTTATCTAGTTTTTGTATATTATAATAAATACAATTGTTTTCAGGTTTAGACAATGTTAAAATAGGACGTGGTGGACCTTTAAGTGATTTTCCAACTTATGCCAAATGGGCATTACTTAAAATTGGAATTGATATAAAAAAGGTACCAATTATTCGAGGAACGTCTATTCAATTTGCTATTATAACAAGTGGATTATGTGTAAAAATGTATTAAAATATATTTTTCCTTTTTTATTTAGATACCGCCAAATGAAATTTTAGAACAACTCTACCAGTCTCATATAAATTTAAAATTAAAATTGAACCTCTTCCAAATGTTGCGAATATACATAAGTCCGGTGTTGGAGGCAGCGATTATATTAGATAGAATAGTATATTTGCAAAATAGTATGAAATGTTCAAAGTCTTTTATTTTACGATTGTTTAATCCTGTTTTATCACCGAGACAGTATGCAATAGTTTCTGTCAGGTAAAATTCTTTTTGATTAATAAGCTTTATAAAATTTTCATGATTGAATATAATTAAAATGATTGATTGATTTATTGTCGCCTTATAAAAAAATACATGATTATATTGATGATATTTGACTTAAATCTCATTCTGTACTTCATAAAAACAATTTATTTATTATCATCATCTTCGTTATTATTTTTCTCTTCAATTGATTGTAAATAGTCCATCACTGATGAATATCCTTCTTCGTGTACTATAGGAAGTAAAATTCCTGTTGGTGCTAAACCATTTTTTGTTCTACATATACTACAATTACATAAACCTCGACAAGGAGGGCAAGCCCATTTCTGAAAGAAAGAAATACAAAAAAAATAATTTCATATGCTAACATAAACGCAATGTTTTACATTTATTATATTTAACTAGATAGAAATTGCGCCAAATTAACTTACAGGATTTTGCAAGGCTTTTATCACATCTTCTCCATATCTTCCTTGTAAACAAGGCCCACAAAACTGACCCCTTGTGCCAATACATTCACCTGATCTACAAATAGTTTTTGTATCCATAGTTTTTTGTCTACATTGATGGCAACTGGTACCATTAGCTTTATTATACTTTTTTTCTATACTACGCTTAGCAACATTGTCGATCATTTCCTGTGTTACTTCATCTACGGATGGTATACTATTGGGATCATATGGAGCTTTGGATATCTTGAAAGTTCTTTTCTTTCTTTTAGGTCTGTCGGGTGATAATAATAAATTATTACTATAGTTGTATTCTTGTTTTTCGTCATCAGTTTCATCTTCACTTTCTTCTTCTTCTTCATCTACATCGCAGACTCCTGTTTTTATTAAATCGATACTCCTTTGAAAAGGTTTAGCCCAAGGAAATAAAACTCTAACCTTATGTTTTTTCTTTATGGCTAATTCTGTAGTTTCATTATTATCGGAATCATTTAATGTGTCATTTGTACAAACTTTCCCTCTACTTCTGGTATTATATTCTTTACGAAATTCCAAACGTACTCTACTTCTAAATGTATTATCCTTCTTATCGTTATAAATTAACTTTTGTCTTTTTCTTGGTGGTTCATTTTCATTAATTTTTTTTACTGTGATTTCTTTTTGCAAACATTCCTCTTCCTCTTTTAACTTATTTACTTCATTGAAAAATTCAGCAAACTATAATAAAAACAATACTTTTTGTTTTCTCTTTTTATTTCATTTAATTATCAAAAATTCATTATACGATCAAAAAATGATGATATATATTTGATAGCTATTTATTCTTATAATCTAAAGTTAAATAATATTATCTGGAAATTTAGAATTTAAAGTGTAATAATATTTTATACAAAATAAGAACATTTTTCTTTTACTTACAATAGCTTTTCTTTTAGCAATATTTTTTTCTCGAAGAGCAGCATAATCACTCATACTTTTATATAAATATTCACAATCACTCTATTGTCTAATTTATTTTTTTTATATTTTTTAAACAAAAGATACTACTTTACTGTTTCGTTTGAAACACCTTTTGCCAGAGATACCAATAAAATATCACTAAATTACCTAACAATTATTTATTTTTATACTAGAAAAAATATTACTAGATATTCAAATATATCATATAATCAAGATTGTCGTTAAAAATTTTGTAAACATTACAAATTAATATTTAATATCAATATCTCTGAATTAAATGATTATTAAATATTATAGAAACTAAATAAATGACATTTATATATATAAATTTCGTATAATTAAAGTATCACTTGCTCTCATTGGTCCATTCAAATATAATATGTAATTCAGTTTACTTCACAATTATAAACGATGCACGTGATTAATTTATAACTTCAAATTGATTTAATGAACTTACTTATTGTAATTTATTTTCTATTCAGGCACGAACAATATTTATCTATATATTAATTTTCACGATGTTTTTGCACGGATATACATATTTATATATAATTTATAAAGTAAGTAAAATAATAATTAATTATATTATCAAATCATTGTGAATTCTTATTTAAATTCAAGTTAAAACAAACAAATAACCACGTGATGAGCACGAACGCGCATGCGCATCTGATATATTTTAAAATAAAAATCTACATCGAATTAACATCGTAATCAAAAAATTGATAAGATATCAGTTGAAAAAAGTTACAAATATTAACATAGATATTCAATTATTGATTTTTTATTCTTAAATTATGATAAATATAAATTTATATATATGAAATGCTTATATATATATGAAATAATAATTGTTTATATTTAATATTTCAGATTGCAAGAAAGAGATGGAGAATTATAAATGGAAATAAACGAATAAAATTATAAATTTACTTTTTAACTATTATCTACGAAAACTTGTAGGAGATTTTCTTATCTACAATATGACGTGTAAGACGAATGAACAAGTTGAGAAGTAACAGCAATGATTATAAATACTAACAGACAGTTTCGTTTTATCTCTTGAACGTGTACATCAATAACATTTAAACGGACGTATTAAGAAGTATTTCATTTAATTTAATTCGACTGAAAGAAATCTTGTTAGTGCATCCTTCACGAGTTATCCTTTACGAATTATTTTCTATATCTTTTTTGAATACAAGGTATTTGAAGATATAAAATATATTCTTACAGAATTTACATTGTATTGCTTCAGTAATTGAAAGTAATCGAAAACATTGTCTACTGTTAGTATATTTTTTTTTATTATTTATTTTATTTATTATTATTGGCTTGCACCCTAAAAGTAATAGAAGTAATCGAACGTTTCATATTTAATGATTTAATATCTTGAATTACAAATAAAATATATTCATTGATGTACAATTTATAATATTTTGATTATTTTTAAATTGCAGTATTTCAATTTGATTTTCAAACATTCAATAATGAAATCTTTGGTAAGAATGGCACTTGGAAGTTTTCGCGTTTCGTCTGCATCCAATTTGTTAAAAATTCGTAAACAAGTAAGTTATGCTACTTTTTTATGATAAAATATAAATAAAAAATAAATAAACGATGCAGAAGTTTTGATGTCATCTTATTAATTATTTCTTTTTTAAATTTGTTTTTTTTTTTAGACATTGCAGTATCCAAAAAGTATTACATCCCAGCAAGTATTTGAACGGGAGTCGAAATATGGCGCACACAATTATCATCCTTTAACAGTAGCCCTTTGTAAAGGTGAAGGAGTTTACATGTGGGATGTCGAGGGAAAAAGATATTACGATTTTTTAAGCGCTTATTCGGCTGTCAATCAAGGCCATTGTCATCCAAGGATTTACAAAACAATGATGGAACAAGCAAAACTTTTAACGCTCGCTTCTAGAGCTTTTTACACAGACGTTTTAGGTGAATTCGAGGAATACATTACCAAATTGTTCGGGTAAGTATTATTCATCAAATAGAAATCAACAATATCTGGAAATATTTATTCAATCTTCTACAATTTCTATTTCTTTTTTGGGGGTTTAAAATAATAAACAAATATTTCATAAAGAATTTAATTTCAATTGAAATATTTGGAGTAACTTGCATTTGAATTTGAATTAAAATAAATATATGTTAATGAATTATAATTATTTACAGATATGACAAATGGTTGCCAATGAATACTGGAGTAGAGGGAGGAGAAATTGCATGTAAATTAGCACGAAGATGGGGATACACGGTTAAAAAGATACCGCAATATCAAGGAAAAATTATTTTCGCGGAAGGTAATTTTTGGGGGAGAACAATGAGTGCAATATCTTCGAGTACTGATCCCAGTAGTTATAGTGGGTTTGGTCCATTCATGCCGGGTTTTGAGTTAGTACCGTACGATAATTTGGTTGCTCTTGAAGAAGCACTTGCTGACCCTAACGTTTGTGCATTTATGGTTGAACCTATTCAAGGTGAAGCAGGGGTTGTAGTACCGCAGGTAAGAAATATAATCAAAGTATTATTGTTAAAAATTGCAATCAATTTTTAATGTCAAATTCTTTTGTATTATTAATGAATGAAATGAATAGTATTGCAAGTTAGAAACAAGCGGATTTGGATTCGACACACACACACAAAACGTAGAAATAAATTTGTTATTGATATCGGAAAAACAATTGTTAATAATAATTCGGTAAATCCTGATATATAACTTAATTTGTATGTATTTTATTTTCAAGAACGGTTACCTGAAAGGTGTTAGAGAACTTTGTACCAAATATAACGTTCTATGGATAGCGGACGAAGTTCAAACAGGCTTAGGAAGAACAGGGAAACGATTGGCTGTCGATCACGAGAACGTAAAACCTGATATACTGATTCTTGGAAAGGCATTATCGGGTGGATTTTATCCGGTATCGGGTATCTTAGCAAACGATTCTATAATGTTGACCATAAAACCTGGGGAGCATGGTTCAACTTACGGTGGTAATCCTTTGGGTTGTAAAGTAGCATTGGAAGCTTTGCAAGTACTCGAGGATGAAAAATTAGCGGACAATGCTGAAAAACTTGGTCAAGTTTTGAGAAATGAACTTGATAAACTTCCTAAAGATATTGTCACGTTGGTCAGAGGCAAGGGATTGTTGAACGCTATTGTAATTAATAAAAAAATCGATGCTATGGATATATGTATGAAATTAAAGGATGAGGGTCTTCTAGCTAAACCAACGCACGGTCATATCATTAGACTGGCACCACCTTTGGTTATCACTGAACCACAGATAAAAGAGTGTTCAGAAATTATTTCACGAACGATACTCAAGTTCCAACAGTAATCTATCTTCTTCTTTATTTTTTGTAGTTTTTTAAATAATAGGTCATACTTTGGAACTATTTGTACAAACGCTCACACACATGCACACTTATTATATATAATTTGTAATATAGTTGGATGAAACGAACTATTTCCTTTAACATTTGAATTACCTATTCTTACTAAACGTATATCCTGTTATCAGCACCTATCAAAGATATAACAGAGATAAATTTTCTACTCTCTCTCTTTTTCTTTTTCTCTGTTAAACAACGTTAACATTATCTCAATGTATTTCATCATAAGTGTCAACCTGATATTTACAAAATACTGATATAATTTAATAATTATGATTAATTGCAAACAAATTTATTTTCAAATGACGAATAATTAAACTCACGTTTATACTTTCGCAACATTCTAATTGACTTTCCTATTATCTTTAGAAAGACGTATTAATCTTTTAAGTGCTTATTATACTTTGGTTTATTAATAACTCGTAAGAGAGATAAGACAATTTATTATGAAATTGATAGCTTTGTATTCTTGTAGGATAATAAAAATATTTAAAAAATAGGAGAAAGAGAGAGTGAAGGGAGAAGGGAGGAAGAAGATACGTATAATAATACGTATATTTAGATACGCAGAAAGAAACTTTGTTAAGTAATTTCAAATTCATTGAGTACAAGAACAACTCTGTTTGTTTATATTAATAATATTTTTATATCAATAATTTTTATTTCCTTATTTCTTTTTTTATATTTTTTAATAATTATTCAAATTATTTTACGACAAAAACACGTGGAATTGTTAAAGTATTTAAATGTTATTTACCTCGAGAATTACACCCACTTAAATACCTGTAACTTGAGGGAATGACTGATAAGAGATAAGGAAATATTAAATATTTGATTGTATAGTCACAACAAGTTTATTATCATCTTGTTTGGTATCATATCTTTACTTTACGTTATTAGTAAGATTTGTTTTTTCTTTTTGAAAATCTGCAATATATAGGATGGCTCTATAATAATTGTTATTTATTTATTTGTTATATAAAAACAAACGTTTTTATTAATTATATAGAATTTTAATAAGCAAATCAGATGCGTACAACAAATTGTATTATAAAATTTTATTTTTATCTTTTTTAGAAAGGAATATTAATAGGGTGATCTTAAAAATTTTCAATCATTTTTTTAACACCAGATTGTTACCGATGGAAAAAAGAATTTAACTATAATATGATGTACTTGAATTGACTTAATAAGATATTTAAAATAATTAATTGCAAAAAATGGTAATTGAAAAGTAAATGAAGTTAAAATACTGTCGAACGTTTATGCATTATTTTTATGATATTTTATTAAAACAAATGATAATTTTTAATTATTATTTTGAACGACTATATTTCATTTCGTAATTGAGAATATAATTTGTGTATTTAATATTTTTTATTTATTATTCTATTTAAATGATCGATGGAAAATTTAAGATATATTAATGCAACTCTTATTTGATGACATTGAAAGATTTAAAAACGTAAGATTATATTGTTTGGAGTTTACTTTAGACCACTGGCGCCTTCGTAAAACAAAGGTTCATTATCAGTTAGGCTTAAGTCCATTCTTTTTTATGTAAATAAGTATAGATCTATTTGTGATATGTTTATTATAAATCCCCCCTTTCCTTTTAAATTGCAAACAAGTATACAACAAAGTATACAAATAAGTTATAAGTAAATAAGCTTCTTCTCCCCACCCCATAACGTTTCATCCATATAAATGATGGAACATTTAATGTATTTCGTTTAGAAAGCATCTCGCTGCATTTCTAGTTGATATCTTACAGATTCTTCGCATTATTATTTCCATTATTAATGTATACCCCTTTGATCTACGGTGAAGTGATTAATTAAGAAAATAATTTCATTATCGTACCTGTTATTTAATTATTCATTAGTACGTAACTGAAACACAAAACATAAGGAACAAAATAAATAAATATAAATAAACAAATATAAAATGCAATCTCTAAGACAAAGGGTTTTTACCGTGGTAACAAAGAAGAGGTACGATCAAGAGAGAAGGTTTTTAAGTAGCAAAGAAATAATTGAACGCGACAATAAATACGCTGCAAGACATTTCAAGCCACTACCCGTTGTACTCACCAAAGGCGAGGGTGTTTATCTATGGGACAACGATGGGAAACGTTATCTCGACTTTTTAGCTGGTTTCTCAACAGTCAATCAAGGACACTGTCATCCCCGTCTAGTCAAAGTTATGAATGAACAAGCTGCAAAATTAGCTCATACTTCGCGAGCTTTTTATACCGAGCCGCATGGAGAATTAGGAGAATATTTAACAAAATTAATTGGCTATGATAGATTCATACCTATGAATACAGGTAACAATAATTCCTGATTGTTTTAATAATATTAAATTAAATTAGATAATTTTTGAAGTGTCTATATGTAATCTAGAATTTGGATAAATTGTATATAAATATTTATAGGAGTTGAAGGTGGTGATACGGCTATTAAACTTGCAAGACGATGGGGATACAGAGTAAAGAAAGTTCCAAATCAAAAAGGAACAATTGTCTTTGCGAAAGGTAATTTTTGGGGCCGATCGTTAGCAGCATTGTCGGCATCAACTGACCCCAATTGTTTCAACGATTTTGGACCGTACATGCCACTCTTTGATAAAGTACCGTACAACGATTTAACGGCACTCGAAAACAAATTCAAAGAGGATCCAAACGTTGTTGGTTTCATGATGGAACCAATTCAAGGAGAAGCTGGTGTCGTTATACCCCATGTATGTTAACGTTATTGTTCCTATTTTCAAAACATTATGCCAAATCTATTTTGAATTACTTGGTAATCAAATACCCTGACAAGCTTTATTCTGAAATATTTGAACATTTGTTTTCTACAGGATGGATACTTAAAAGGTGTTAGAGATTTGTGTACGAAATACAACGTTTTATGGATCGCTGATGAAGTACAAACCGGATTGTGCAGAACTGGGAAACGTATGGCGGTAGATCACGAAAATCAAAAACCAGATATTATGATTCTAGGAAAAGCACTTTCTGGTGGAATGTATCCAGTTTCTGGTGTCCTGGCAAACGATGAGGTAAATCTATAAAACAATGAAATGTACGATATTGAATTAGTATCAATAATAATATTATTATAGATAATGATGTGTTTCGAAACTGGTTGCCACGGTAGCACTTTTGGCGGTAGTCCTTTAGGTAACAAAGTAGCATTGGAAGCGGTAAAAATTTTGGAAGAAGAAAATCTCGCAGAGAATGCTAAGAAATTAGGCGAAGTATTGAAAAATGAATTGAGTAAATTACCGAAAGATATTGCCGTGGAATTTAGAGGACGTGGCTTGTTGGCTGGTCTTCTTATCAATAAAGGTATTTTCTTATCTTTTAATATCTGAAATCATATATGAAAATTATGAGAAACGGTGAAGTAAAATACTCTGCTAAAATTGGCTAGTTGATATTTAAACATACCATCTTAAATTAACCATCATTTATGTGTTTGTTCATAGACATGGCGGAGGGTTGGGATATTTGTTTGAAATTACGTGACGCAGGTTTATTAACAAGACCTGCGCATGGTCAGATTATAAGAATATCACCACCATTGACCATTACACCGGGTCAACTTGAAGAAGGTTTACATATTCTTACGACAACGCTAAAAAGTTTTTAATAGAGACTGTTTAATTAAAAAAATAATTATAATTAGATTACGTTATAATAAGAAATGTAGTTACCAAAATTGCACGTTTACGGCTCTTTATATAATGATTATTTGGAATAATATATGAATCCGTTCGTTGTACGAAGATATTTTATTATATGTATACTTTAAAGAATGATATATTGTAATATTACGCGATATACTTTATAAATAATTTCTTTTTACAATACAATTAAATGTGAGTATCGCAGTGCCTCTTCATATGTCTCGTTAAACTGAAAGCCTGAGAAAACATTTGATTGCATTGCTCGCACTTGTACGTTTTAGTTCCCGTATGCAGATTCAAATGTCTTTTTAAATGATTAGCCAATTTAAAACGTTTACCACATAATCGACATTGATGTTGTCTCAGAGAAACGTGCGAAGCTTCGTGATTCTTAAGATGACTCGATTGAGAAAATGTTTTGCCACATAATTTACACTCGAATGGTTTTACCTTAGTATGAATTCTCAAGTGTTCCACCAAATTACCCTTTTGTGTGAAACATTTGTTACAATATTCGCATTTGTGCATCTTTATCGACTTATGGGTTTGCAAATGTACTTTCAAATTGTAGTTTTGACTAAACCGTTTATCGCATATCTCACATTGAATAAGATCTTTCCCTGTATGCAGTTTTTCATGCGCTTTTAAATTTTTTATCAATCTAAATCGTTTCTTGCAAGTATTACATTGGAATCCTTCGAGTTGTAATACTTTTTTGGAATCATTATTATATATCTTGTTATGAGTTTTCATATGTTCTTCGAGATAAGACGGATACGTAAATACTTTGTTACACAATTTGCATAAATGTACATTTTTTTTAGTATGAAGTCTCACATGCGCGTTTAATTTACTTTTAGACGCATAAGCTTTTTCGCAACTGTGACACTTGTATGGTTTTTGATCACTATGAGATACCTGATGTGCGAGTAATTTAGATTTCTGATTGAATATTTTAGTACACAATTTACATTTGTATTTTTTTAAATACGAATTAGATAACTCCTTTGAATCAAGTTTTTCCTTATAATCAGAATCGGATGAACAAGATTGATAATTATTTAAGATATGTCTTTCTGTTTCGATATTCTGTGCTTTAGCATATTGTAAATTATGCAAATTCGTGACATCGTTTTCTGAATGCATTATATTTTGAACGCGTTGCGTATCATTCTCTCGAACATCATCGAGTTGTATATTGTCTGGAAAGTTTAAATTCTGCATTTGATTATTATCCACGTTTGGTCTTTGGTAAGATAAATTTTCAACGGAATTATCAACGGAATTAATAGATCTTTCGTAGCTCAAATTTTGTGGCAATTGATTAGAATTCTCGCAAATGTCTATATTCTCGTTGTCATAGGATATATCAATATTTTCTGTAGTATGTGCTATATTATGACAAATTAATTGCGTTCTATTAGTAAATGTATGATTACAGAGAGAACAATGTAAAGCACAAGCTGCTCTGCTAGAACCATCCTCGTTCATCGACATCATATGCATTACATTAGATGTAATTAATGGTGATAATTGAGTATTCTGTATACTATCATTAGAAATGTTAGGATTCAAATGGCTGAAATTAAGATACGTATTTTGAGACTCTATGATGTGCATATGTTCGACGGGAATATTTTCTTGTACGAAAGGTAAATGCAGTCTACTGTGAGCACACAATTCTTGATAGCTCATAAAAACAGCTCCGCATTCTATGCACTTTAAAGTTTTATGAGAGTTCTGTACTGGCATAAAACCTTGGCTCTGTTGATACAATTTGCAACCAGATACAGTAGCATAAGAAGTTAAACCAGAAACCTAATAAATAAAACAAAAACATATATGATTTTTAGATATTGTAAATAAATAAATTAAAAAGTATAATAATAAAATAATACTTTTAAAGCAGCTTGTCTTAAAGCCCTATCAGCTGCTCTACATTGTTCTCGATACAAAAGTGCAGATTCTGCTCTGGTAACGCATCTGTCACACATTTTTTCTGGTAATCCGTCACCCTGCCAAACCTAAAAAAGAAAAAATATAAATAAAGCAAAATATAGAAATTTAAAATATGTAAAATATGAAAATTGTAAGATTATATTGATTTACTTCTAAACAGGATAAAGATCTAAGTTTGGCAGCAAGAGAAGAACCTGCTGGTCCGACGAACAAACAAACCATTTTATCACCGTCCTCTCGCAAACATGTACGACACAGTTTGCTAATATTTTCTCCGTCAATTTCTTTAGTTACTATAAACATCTTTAATTTTATTTATAAATAAAACAATATCACAATAAAAATACACGTCAATTGTCAACTAGTTTGAGGTTATGCCGCCATAATTGTTTTGAAAACTGTCAAAAGTTATTAAAAAACTCGACAGATGACAGCACGATCGAGACACATAGAAATGCAATTAAAACATAAAATCGTGATTACGTGTAAACGTGGTTTAATAATGTGAATTAGGGATCTTATAAAAGTAAGCCAAATGTAACGTACCGAAGTTGTCTCTCTGTGTGTTTTTTTGTTGGCAATCAACAATATCGATGTTAATTTTTTAAAGAATCTCTATTATTTATTGTAAATTAAAAAGGAAAAATGATACGTTAAATAAGGTTGTAAAAAGTAACAGATACGATTAATAATTGTTTGTTAAATAAGTTTACGTTTCTTCTTCATTGATAAAGAGAATTGATAACAGTAAAATGCCAGTCCCTATATATTTTTAACTTTGTGATTGAAATAGAATATGTCAGAACGAAAGTTGGAAGTTATTGATAACGTGGAAAAACAATATCACGATGAAACGATTAATATTCAATACGATGATACCATTGACGTGTCAAACTTTGATTTTAGCGACACTGATAGATGGTAAGAAATATTAAATTATTTAATTGTAGTTATCACATATTATTTCTTTTTCTTTTCTTTTTTTTTACATTCACGTTTCCTGATTTTCTTAAGAATTGTATTTTTATCTCATCAAAGAATAGATTTAAGTTTCAATAGAACGTTATATATTTATATTCCTAAACAAATGTTAATAGTTGTTTATAAAAATGTTAAACATTTGTTATTTCAGGTTGTTGGAACCTGTGGAGTGCTCGTCAGAGACTACAGTGCATGACTTACACGCCTGGTTGAGGAATTCCTCAGAAATAAGTTCTCAAAATACTCCTACCAGTAATTCCTTCTCTACCATCTTATTTTTTTAGTTTCATTTCTTGTTATTTATAATTCATTAAATTTGGCTTTAGCTACTAAAAGGTTTACGGATACGAGAACATTTACAAGGCCTAAGAAACGGAATACCAGAATGAGCTTTGAATCTATCATGGAAGCATTACCTCCTCATTTACAAAATGCATGTAAAATTAGGGACAAGGAATTTCACAATTTGTATCAAAGCGTAAGTTTTCGATAATTATAATAATTATAAGTTGATACTTCATTGTTGATGACTCTAATCGTTAAAGATTCAATCATAAATTTTATCAATTGTAAATACAATGTACATAATATTTATAATTTCTAATACACAGGCTAATAAAACTAATGATAAGAAAGAAGGTATACCATTTATGTTAAAAGGAACAATGGGAGCTAATCGTTACAATCCCGATGATGGTTTAATTACATCGGGACAGGAAAGTATGGAAGCTTTTTTAAATATGTCCCAATCCAAAGGAATTGATTCGTTTATAAATTTAGGAGAACCAGATTTTGGGGATGCATTAATGAACGTTTCTCATCCATCTGTTTTATATTCATCTATCATATCAATGAATAATGATAATACATATAACACTGACTATGACAGTGGTATCAGTTCAGAAACTTCATCGTATCCAACGATGGATAAATGTCAATTTATCAAAGTTAAAAACCCAAAGGTTAATTTGGAAACAACATTTGTATCAAAATTCAACGATAAGACTATAGTAAAGAATAAAGATAAAAATAAAATGTCTATAAATAAAACGTTTACTAGTGAGCCAACAAATATTGAAAAAATGGATATTAAGGATATTTGTAATATAGATATTCATAATGATACGTCGTCCACTTTGGTAAATTCGAAGATAGAAAAGATGAATGAGAATTCTTTGTCTTCCACGTATACAAATCTAAGTGATCTTAATGTCACAGTGATTAAATCGGAAAGTAATGAAGCTAGGAATTCACTAGATACTACATATCAATGCGTTGATGTGAAAGAGGAAAAGAAAGTTGCACCTGCAATGACCATTACAAATACATTTGACTCTTGCAAACAAAATATTCATGTTGGTTCTAACGTGGAAGAAACTGCCACGAAATTTTCTGACAGTACAATGTTACCTGTGCAAAACAATTGTATAGATTCAATACCACAATTACCTGTTTCGTATACTAATCATTCGTCTAAACAAGAAAGTTTACTAAATTCAACATTTACAAGTATGAATAAGAATGTTAATCAATATCAATCGACGTGTATGAATCCTACGAGTTTACCACCGGAAGAAATTCCTTCTTTAAGAAGAGAATTATTAACGGAGATTCAACGTAGTGGAAAATACAAACTACATTCTGTCTACAGTAATACTCCTGATGAATCTCAGCCGAATACTAATGAAAATATTAACGTTACTTATGACTTGAATATTACACAGAAAAGTAATATTCCTATAGAAAATAAGTACAATACGTACAGAAAGCAACCTTCAAAAGATCAATCTAATAGTAAAAATGAATTGTCCGATTGTAATATAGTAACAACGTGTACGCAAAAAGATACACAGAATCGTAAGTTTTATACTTTTACTAAAAAAACTGCTAATATCAATGGAAAGAGTAATATAGAAACTGTAGAGCAATCGTTGCCACCTAGTAACATAGACGAGACCTTTTGTAAACCAATTTCTAAGGCACCTAAGAAAAAATTACACGCGCCTAAAAAATTATCCAAACTGCCACAATTCTTGCAAAACTCTAATCCCAATTTATTATCGAATCCGATTAAGACTATCAATGCTACTAGATATTCGTATTTACCTAATGTCAGACAAGTCAAAGGTACATGCATTAATACGATGGAAAGTATAGCCAAACCGATGACTATTAAATCGTATTCATTAGGAAAATTAAGAAGTGGTTCGGAACAGAGATTGCCACACGTTGATATAAACACTACGTTTCAAAAGCCAAATTCCGGAGGTTCTACTGAAAGTATAGATAGTACTCAAAGTGCACATAGTGCTCCTGATTTAGACGATAGACTTAGTATGTGTTCTGACAGTAGTCATAATTCATACAATGTACGTACAACGAATATGGAACAGTTGTCTCAAATTGTATATATGCAAGAAGGTAAATATATTTAAACTATACGATCAATAGATTAAACAGTTATAAGCAAAACTAATTTGTAACAATTGTATCATTTAATTAGGTACTAAACATCAATCAACACCAAAACCAAAGAAAAAAATTTTACGTAATAATTGGGTCGACGACTTAAAAGATTTACCTTCACCAATTTCAAAAAATCATGTTGAGGAAACTGAAAGCAATTCTAGTTCACCGCTTAGTATAGATTCAACAGTTAAGACTAGCTCTCCGATAATAAGCCCAACTGGATCTAGTCAAGCTATAAACAACAATGGAGAACATAAAATTTCGAGTAAGAGTAAAACATTATATATTTATATATTAAAATTTAATTTTACAATGTAAGGAAAAGTTCGATAATACTTTTTTGTCTATCATTTAAGGTCACTTGGAAGAGAAAGAACAAGAGAATGCAGTTGGTCTTGTGAAACAGGTAAATTATAATATTTTAACTGTTTAACATTGAAACTCAAATGTTTGATAATAAATAATTTAATCAAATTATCTGTTTCTATATTAACTAGAACTTTTTATGATATATTTCAGACAACAAATAAATTAACTAATACAACAGAAACTAAAACTAAGCTTCGACAGCCGAGTAACTGGAATACTGGAAATAAACCAGCCAGTGTAGCAAGTGGTATACCCAGACCACAGTCTCGCATACCAGCTCTTAGATTTGTAAGGCCAAACGTTAAAACTACTACTACTCAAGGTGATTTAAAGAAAGGTTACTTGTGAAACTAAATATAATTAAAAAGGAATTGCAATAGCAATATTATACATATATATATATACATATAAACGTAAACATTTTCATTTCGAAAAGAAAAAGGAATTATTACTACGATCATTCGTGCACAAAATAATATTGAAAAATAAAAAGAAAAAAAAAATTTTTTCCATTAAAAATAAGTAAAATCATTTAATTTATAATTAACAAATTCAGTATTAATGAGCTTCTGGAAGAAGTTAGATTCCTGTTCAATCTTTATATACATATATATATAACACATATCATCAATTCGTATTTAAATTTGTGTTTAATTTAAATTTTTCAACAAGATTTTATATGCATATATATTGTATATGTATATTCATTCGCAGAAGTGTTATATATATTATATATTTGCTATTAGGAAATAGTAAGATAATTTTTTATACAAATATTTACAACAACAAAAACACAATAAACAGTCTATAATAATAATAATAATAACATTAATACTAATATTAATATTAATAATAATAATAATGCAAATAATACTACTAATATAAATAATAATGACAAAATTAACAAAAAACATTAATTACCATTTATGCTTTCTACTTTTTTTAATTTTTTTATTATAACAATTCATGCTATATATCATTTATGCTATTGTTACATGGTGAATATTGCTTTTGTGTTTCCTTTTTATTTTATTTATATTTTTGTTTTTTGTTGCAAATTTTCGTTTACATGATCACTTTCTCGACGTCTAATTGATTAATATATTTTAAATGATAAATTTTGCTACTTGTAAATTACTTTATAAGTTT